GAGGAAAGTGATCAATGATGTAGAGTGTGCCTAAGGAGAGTCACATGGAGAGAAAACATTCTCTCAGGCTTTCACAGAGAGCAAATTGGTCAAACAATGGCTGTGACTCATCCACATGGCTGACACTGACAAAGGATCTACAAACTTCAATACAGGGTTTCAGGGTAAATCCTGAGGGGATTTGACTGACTTTGTCAGATATAGAAGTTACATTTCTTGTTATATAGGTCTTGCTTTGTCTTGGTCTTAGCCATCCAGCAGAAAAGTATGAAAACAAGGCATAACAAGTAAAGCCATATTAATATGCTGAGCTATAAAAGGCTCAAGTCAACCTTTTCACATTGCCAGTTCTGCAGATAATCCACTACTATTTTGGACTACTGGACTATATTGGATTATTTTGCTGAATTCATGCACCTACAATATTTAAATGGCAATGGAATAGCCATACCTGACAACACTAAACAAAAAAAGGGGATATAAATGAAGGACCATTTTGTATCTGTATATACAAAATAGTTAGGATAGATATACACCTACTTTCTTAATTCAATGAGAAGAAAGTTTTGTACTAATAGTGTTTGGACAGGATATCATGTCTGCATCTTGTGCTATGAATAACCATTACAAAGATAACAATATGCAATGTATTAATTATTGAAACTATCCTACTAATCAGTTTTGAAATTGCCTCATTGCTATTTGTTTCTCAATAAGATTAATAAAAAAATAAGAAATGAAATAAAATAAAATAGCAACTCACTTGAGGTTAACAATCCAAAAAAAAAAAAAAAAGAACTGAAAACGTCATATGTGTAATATATGTGCACCCATATTTATAGCAGCATAATTTGTCTTAGCTACATGTTGGAAATAAACCAAATGCCCCAAAACTGAGAAATAGATAAAAAAAAAAATGTGGTATTTCTACACAATGGAGCATTAGCTATGAAAAAAAGATAAACTCGAGATTTTTATAGGTAAATGGATGCAACTACATACTGGTAAGTGAAATAAATCAGACCCATATGTGCAAACATTGTATTGTATCACAGTGTCTGAACCTGAAAAAGTAAATACAATCTGAAAGGTACAAGAGATACTGTGAAAGGGAAAGAAACTATTCAAAGGAAAAGAACAAGTGAGAGGAAAGAAAGGACAAAAGAAAGAAGGAAGGGAGCTGGGGAGATGGCTCAGTAGAATAAGTGCTTGCCTGGCAAGTGTGAGGGCCTGAGTTCAATCCCTGGTTCCACAAAAAAAAAAAAAAAAATTGAAAACATATAGAGAAATATATAGACATAATATTTCT